TGTGTGTGTGTGTGTGTGTGTGTGTGTGTAGTATTATAAATCCCCTTACAGTAACAAATAGATCAATTCTTCTTTTTTTTAAAACCTGTAAAATGTTTCTGGTAAAAATAAAATAATAATTAAAAAATATATAAGTTATCTGCATATAATATAATGTAATAATATATGGGCACCACTTTAAAGTAAGACTCCCCATATAGATGGCTAATAAATAGTTTATTGGTATGTTATTAATTCCTCTATAAACACTTTATAAATCAATAATAATTGTTTACTACGTATTAATTAAGGGTGACAGTGCGACAAAACTGACCAGTTTCTTGCCCAATAGTATTACCCATATATTTCATCTAGAGTTGTTATTTTAAATATGTCAGACTAAGTTGTAAAACCACTAAGCATGTGTAAACCTAATTTTTTTAATTAAATAATATTAGTTGGCGATACTTATAATGCAGTGATAAAGTACAATATGTATTATATCCCAAAAAAATATAAAACCTTTAAATAAATAAACAACTTTATTAATGCATAATAAACAGTTATTATTTTTTTTTATAAAGGAATGTCTATAAACTATTTATTAGCTATCTATAAGGGGAGCCTTATTGTAAAGTGGTACCTGAATATGCAATATTAACTTGGTCAGTCAAAATATTAAAACATTAAATAATTCAAGGTCTAGTGTTTCTTGACACCTTTTATGCCAAAGTTTTTAACAAAATCAAGTTATGCTGAAAGGAGATGGTGTTGTAGTCATTTTGATCAAAACTTGTAAACACTGCTATGAACAGTTTTATGCATTATTGTAAAATCCCACAAAATGTATTACCGCTTCAAAAAGGTTGTTGAGGACAAATTTAAGACCACAGCAATGTGCTTAACATCTGTAAAGTGCACTGTTACAGCCATTTTTATGTTTTCTAATATCAGTTGACTGCGGCAGCCATCTTGAATTGAGTTGAATTTAAAATGTAATCAGTTGAACATATCCATTGATTATCCTGATGCATGCTCAGTTGATTACTTTCCAAAAGTTGCAATGAATGTCAGTTCAGTGGTTCATGAGATATTTTGCTAGCAGACAGGGTTGACTATAACAGTTAATGGCAAAGTTAAAAAAAAAACAGATCTAACAAGTTCTAATATTTCTCAAAGTCCTGGACATTATTCTCACCTGGATATACTTTAAATTAGCTGAACTGTAGCCAGTTTGTGTTTGCTGGGGTTGCTTAGCTGTGGCAGCCATCTTGAATAGAAGTAACTCCAAACGTTACTCATTTGTAAATGTGCTGTTTGAGAATTTGTCTTGTGCTTCATTATATTGTTTGCAAACAGACGACTATAGATTATGAATGAAAAAAAAAACACTATCAGCTTTTATGTTGTAACAATGTGTTTTATAGATGTCAGTGATCACGGTTTAAAAGGCTGAGTGTGCGTTTTCTTTGGTCATTATCTGGATTTTTCACAATTACTAAATTGTGCAATCGAGTCAGCACAGATTTGCACCACCCTGACACAGTCTCAACTTGTGTTGGCCTGAATGTGTTCCAGCCCAGGTGATGTGACCCTGTTCTGGGCTCCACAAGGCCAAGCTTGACTGGAGTGAATTGATTCGTGGGGATTAGAGATTAAGACTTCCCTGTCCGCTTTGGTGAAGTAAATCTGGGGGATTATGATGTCAACAGCCTATGGCTGCTAGAGAGGAAATTGAATTGTGAGGACCAGGAGCACCGATGGTGCAGGATTACAGCATAGTTAGTGAGAAATTGGAGATGAGAGTCCATGTCTGTGCCTTTCTGATGATCAGGAAAACCTCCACGGGAAACCATTTACTGCCTTTGGAAAGTAGAAATTGCTTACATGACAGAACAGAATCTGAGTGCATGTCTGTGATGTTGACCGAGGGATAAGAAGATTTCTGTGGTCCAGTAATCCTGCTCTGGTCTGGCCTGTGAAGCATCAGGTGGTGAGTACTTTAAGTGCAACAGGGAACACTTTGACATTTAGTAGGTTGATAGGAACATCTAGTTTTACATCTGGAGTCAACACAGAGGAGGACAACTAGCTGGAAGTTGAAACCACAGATATAAAAACTGTTGGACTGGTCAAGATAAAAACATGTTCCCATTCTAACTTGTGTTGTTGCATGTCTTGGTTTCCTTAAGCCGTCTGTGGCTGTGACCACTCCGTCTGCTCCTGCTGTCACATTCACAAAAGTCCCTAAAAGCAGCAGGATGAAGGTGAAATGGACACATCTGGGTTTGGTCTTCTTCCTCACTTTGTCACTGGTGATGACAGGCTGCTTCTTCTGGCAATACCAGCTGCCAAAGGTTCTGCCAGGTAAGATGATTCCAGATGTTGTCAGGTGATAAATGTCACTGTGTGGCGCTTTGGCCAATAAAACATGTACCATCCGCATCTTGAACCTAGTCATCTTCATCTTGGATGATTTTTAAATGACCTTTAAAAATGTTTTATTTCTTGGTTTCTTTGAAAAAAGCTTTGCACTGGAGTTAAAGTATAACCAGTTTTATTTGTTAATCTGAAGGAAAATTAGCGCTGCAATCAGATTTGTTGTGGAATTTTGATGTTGATTCTGATGATGCAGCGTTTTCATGTGCAAACATGTTTTCTTGAGATTCACACTGAGTGGTCTGACTTGAAGTAGCTTCACTAAACACATCTTAAGGAAAATTTGCCTAAAATGAAAGGCTAGAATATGAAAGTAGTATAAAAATACAGCATTTCCTAAAAATAATGTGAAATAAAATCGTTATTTTGCAGCCAAATTATCCATTTGAATAAACATTTACTCTCAAACTACTGGTATGTGAAATTTTGAGTTATTTTATTAACCTTTATTTAACCAGGCGAATCCCATTGAGATCACAGATCTCGTTTGCAGGGGAGGCCTGAAGGCAGACTAACGTATGTTTTTAGTCTGTTATGAAATTCATCTAATTTTACACTTGATACACTTTATTTTTTAGCAACTTTAACCTCTTCGTCCATCCTGTCTGTCCTCACAGAACTCAGATTGTACTCATTCTGTGGTTATCATTCTCAGCAGAGTGAGTCATCTATTGCTATTGTCCAGAAAATTATTTACTAAGATTATAATTTGAGCGCAAGATTGCATTTTTTTCCCTTTATCAAATTAAAAAAACAACAACTAGAGATTGTTTTATTGAGGTTTATACATTTTGCCTGACTTACTGATAGTGTGACATTCCACCGCAGTTTTATTACAGCATCTCTGTCTTGAGCTTGAGAACACATTTATTTTTTGTTTTGCTCATTTTTTAGCTAAAAATGTAGTTTTACATTGATTCTCAAAGACCTTTTATTTGGTTCTGTTAATTAGTTTTCATCTGAGCTTTCAAACTTATTGCATCAGGTTGTTTGTGCGTCTAGATTAAATACTATCACTGAATTAAGAGATTACTTAAAGGCAGTTTGAGATGCTGAGATTAGACTCCTGAATCTCTGCCTCCTTTGGAAGTTTAAATAAAGTGGAATTTACCTCCTGGGTAGCATCCAGCTTCCACTATAAAATGTAAAACTTGGACATAGTGAGCTAATTTTGAGGGTAAATAAATCCTGTTTTTGTCCTGAATCAGATATTTTTTCTGACAGAAACACACCTCACCACTAATTTACACGTCTATAAGTTACAGATTATGCTGATAAGGATTCAGTGTCCCTTTTCTGTAGCTTATTAATTTATTTTTGACGTTTTGCCACAGTCTTGTGCTGAGACGTTTGTCAAACTGGTCCAGATTGGTGAAACTCTGCACAGCAGAGAGGAACAACTAATATTCAATGTATTGTATGAGTTTAATGAAACTAACAGGACTGAAACAAGGACTCTCAGGGTTTCAAACAGGTTTCAAGTTTAGACAAATGTTGCTTCTATGAGATATTTTTTCCTTGTTTGTTTTGATTTTTGCAGCAACAATTGGTCTAAAATTACACAATTGCCATGACAACCGATGCGTCATTTAACAGCAATTTGGAAACGTCCGTCTGTGGGAAAGAACAATCAGCAACAAAACTATTTCTCCCTCTTTATTTTATAATTGAGAACATATTCACATTCTTTCTTACTTGTGATCTAGTAGGACTTTCTAAAAAGTAACAAAAATATATATTTTTAAGTGAATGATGTAGCAACTGATGAGAATTTGCTCGAAATGTCAAAAAGTAAAAACTTGCTGATGCAACATGACATGATCTGAGTCAGTGCAGTGACTTAACACTATTCTTCGGATAGAAATGGGTTACTGGACGACTAAAGGTTTGGCAGAATCAAAACAAATATGACTTCATCAAGAAATATATTTTCTCTATTCAGTATAAACCAATTGTACAGACAGTACAAGGTTCAAACAAAGAGCAGGCTGGGATATGCCTGAGATAACTTCTGTCGTGACTTGGAGCTGTATAAATACGAGTTGAATTTAACTGAGTTCATATAAAACGAGTGCAATCTATCACTTCTCGTTATCAGGAATGTCTCTTTAAATAGAGCACGTACCAGTTTGAACCAAGTACAGAAATCGCATAGCACATCAATGACATGCATGCTGGGAAGTTGTTTTACAGTCTAAAAACTATGTTTACATAAATAATAGTTGTTTGCAATAAAAAGTCAAATGGTACCCTGACGCTACAAAGAGATACATAAAATTATGAAATTATCTGTGTTCACAGCATGAGTAGGTTCAGTGCATTAATATCAGCGGTACGCAACACATCATGTCTGACTGTAAACTCAAGAGAGGACAGAGAAAACTAATAAACCTCCAAATTGATCAGTTACGCCACATTATCCCTGCTTTTGTGTTCGACATACGATGTTTACTCAAATATCATTAAAAAAATAATAAATCTAAAGCCATGTCTCCTGAGGAGGGCGGCACGGTGGCACAGCAGGTAAAGCTGTTGCCTCTCATTGAGAAGGTCACTGGTTCAAATCTCAGCCCGGGGTCTTTCTGGGTGGAGTTTCCATGTTCTCTCCGTGCATGCGTGGACTTCCTCCAGGTACTCCGGTTTCCTCCCACAGACCAAAAACATGCATGTTAGGCTGATTGGTAACTCTAAATTGTCTCTAGGTGTGAGTGAGAGAGTGAATGGTTGTTTGTCTCGTTTGTCTCTATGTGTCCCTGTGATGGACTGGAGACCTGTCCAGGGTGTCCCCGCCTCTCACACACTGACTGGTGGACATGGGCACCAGTGACCCCCGTGACCCAAAAAGGAAGATGCGAGTAAAAATAATGGATGGATGTGTCCTGAGGCTTCAGCTGCTTTTATTTCGTTTAATCTCTTTTCTCATTTCTCATCAATCAACCAGACGAAGAGTTGGGTCACAACACCAAATCAGAGATGATGTGTCCTCGCTTCCCAGAGCCTCTCCCACTGGAGCATCCTATTCCCAGTCTGAAAGAAGCCCTGGAAAAGGTGAGAAAAGTTAATCATACACAGACAAGCCTGAAGCGCTTTTCCATCCCGCCCACTCAAGACCGAGTAAATTTAGAGGCAGTGCTGATAATCCTTCTCACCAAATGTCGTCTCAATTGACAGAAGGAGATTAAAGACATAGAGGATGAAAATAAACAGTCCATCTGAGCTAAAGGTTGGATTTTTTTATTTTTTTTACACAGGAATAAGCACTTTAGCAACAACATCAAATAATACAGAAGAGTATTTCTACATTATTCGTAAGAGCATGGCTACACTAAACGTAGGTACATGTATAAATACTGGCATCAAATGTGGCTGTTTCACACATGAGTACACGTGTGCTATTTAAAATTTAATTACACTCAAAATGCATCAGTTCATCTCGAAAATCAACAAGCAGGTAGAGCTTATTTGGTGGAATAAGGTGCATTTTATAGACAAAATGTTTATTTTATTAACAGATTCATGCCTCTGTTTGCAAGTCATAGTCAGAGGAAGAAATCGTGGAATTAGAAGAAAAGAGCAGACTGATTTTCCTAAATGTTTCCTCAAGTGTTCATCTGCTGAAACAGAAAATAACCTGAAGCTTTCTTTGTCTCCTGCAGGTAGATGTTCTGCTTCGGCAGAGCATCAGCCCCGTCAGCCTTCCTGCTATGTCTGCCATTGTTATCCTGAACGATACGGTTCTGTGGACCGGAAACTTTGGAAAAAGAAACGCCAGTGACCCTTTCGCAGGACCACCCAATGAGTACACAATCTACAGGTTAGGACTGAGCAGCATGTAGATTTTGATTTTTGTCACAATAATATTGAAGTGTAAACTATAATAACCTTTTTTTTTTTTTTTTTTTTTTGCTACTTGCTTTATGACTTTATCTGGGATTTACATCCGGTGTGATAACTGGTTCACTGGCCAGTATTTTGAAGACAAGTTTTTGTTTTGTTCAATTTTTTTTACACATTATTGACACAAAAGGAAATTCAGTCAAGTTTAATTTTAGAGCTCAATCATATTCTATTTAGCTAAAATTGATTAGGTAATATGGATTCAATCCAAGCAAAAATAGGTAAAAACAAAAGCAAAATGACTATAAAGTTTAAATATTACACTTGTTGGAGTATTGTAAAAATTTAGGATGCACTTTTCTGAATGAGCACTGACCTTTTGAATGGGTCTGGGTAATCTGTGTGTTTTCAACATCAGCCGGGGGCTCTGAATCACATCCAGTGTGATCGATAACCAGTAAACAAGAAGCACAGTAGTGAGCTGCACACAGTGGTACCCAAACAATAATCCAGCTTGTTGTACTGTACTTTTTTAATTTTCAATTTCTCTCTTTGTGCCTCAAAACCACCTCTGACTTTTATACAAGCAGGGATACTGTTTTTAGGACTGGGATGTTGAGATGCAACAGAAATTAGACCTGCAAGCAGTTATTATGGGGTCCAAGCTACTTAACACACAGTCTCATCCCCAGAACTTCAACTTTGTGTACAACAAATTTGATATTTGACAAGGAGAAGGTAAAAGGTTTAAATAATGACCTAACTCAGCAGCTTTTATTTTATTTATTTATTTATTTAATTGCCAAAGCCTTAATTAACTTTCTTCTTTAAGCTTTTCCATTTTCATGGGTCTCCACACCCTCCTCCATCTCACTCTGTCCTCACTCCAAACCATCTCAGTCTGAACTTTATCTCCCAATCCTTCAACCTGTGTACTATGTGACTCAGTATGCAGGGGACGTAGCAATAAAACTTTGCAACTTGCGGGTTAGAAGGTAGATGAACAAAAGCAATGTCTCCAAATATATCACCCCTTACAGGTGAACATGTCTGAGTGTTGTTCTCTGTCGTACTCACATGCCATAGTTACTACCATGTAATTATCATATCAGTGCTACTTGTTGTTTGGGCTGCAGCATGACTTATTTAAGGAATAAAAATCTAATAACAATTAAAAAAACAGAAGAGTTTCAATAGGGTTCCATGTTTGGCTGGATGCATGGAATTGTGGCTGCTTTGCAGAGCATTCCCCTGCAACACTGGACCCCTAATAAAAGGCTCACAGGCCATTTCTGAGCAATTTTGTGACTGTATTGTCCAGCAAAGGACATTAACGTTGTAACTCAGCAATGTTTGAGTAGGTGGTACGGAAAAGTATCATCCTTTAAGTTTGAATAATTTTATGCTGATTTTCTAGTATAATTGCAGCATTTGCTACTGGCTAAAAATAAATAATAAGAAAAATTAAAAAAAATTGCCAGTGGCTAGTGGACAGAATGCAGGTGTTTCCCCATCCTTTAGGTCTGAACATTGCCCAAGTTGAATACTTGGATTTTTGTGTTTACATATGCTCAAGTATAAGTCTGGCCCCTGCAAAACTGTCTGAATGATACAGACTTTAATCTGGAGAAATCTTTGTTTCTGTTGTCCCCTAAAACTGTATCAATGATCAAACAGAGATTAGGTAAAAAAAAAAGGTTGTGAAAAAAAAGTTCATAACTATTAAATCACTGTCTGTGTGATTCAGAGGTGCAAAGTTGGATGACTTAAAAATAAAAGGGGGGGTGTAAAAACATCCATCCATCCATCCATTTTCTTTACCCGCTTATTCCATTTTGGGTCACAGGGGTCGCTGGTGCCCATGTCCAGCAATCACTGTGCGAGGGGCGGGGACACCCTGGACTGGTCTCCAGTCCATCACAGGGACACATAGAGACAAACGAGACAAACAACCATTCACTCTCTCATTCACACCTAGGGACAATTTAGAGTTACCAATCAGCCTAACATGCATGTTTTTGGTCTGTGGGAGGAAACCGGAGCACCCGGAGAAACCCACGCATGCACAGAGAGAACATGCAAACTCCACCCAGAAAGGCCCCTGGACCGGGGTTTGAACCAGGGACCTGCTCACTGAGAGGCAGCAGCTCTTCCAGTTGCGCCACCGTGCTGCGGGGTAAAAACAATTAAAGTTATATGACTTTCAATCCCCAAACGGATCAGGCTTTACGCTGAAAAAAGCTTAGTTTAATAAAACTTTATTAGACAAATAAATTCCTATAGCCTAAACTCTACTGCTCAGCATTATAATAAAAAGGTTATTTCAGAAACCATGGACGTACCCTTATAAACTTAAAGACAAGACAAATGGTTATTTGCTGATATTTTGACTTCTCAAAAACCTTTTAACAGGTATTTGTACTGTATACACCTGAGACTGGTTGTGTTTAAATAAAAAGTGACAAAACTTTAAAGGTACTCACAGCAAAGCATGAAATCGAACAAAATAAATTATCCTAATCCAGGAGCGGCTAATCCTAGTCCGCATGTTTTAGATGTTACTGTTCCCAACCTGGTCTTTGAAGAACATCATCCTGCATGTTTTTGTTGTTTTCCTGCTTTGAAAAACCTGATTCGAACAGATGGGTGAGTAACAGGTTTCTGCAGAACTTGAGGATGAAATTAGATCACTGAATCCGGTGTGTTGGAGCAGTGAAACAAATAAAACATGAACGATAGTGGCCCTCAAGGAAAAGGATTGGGTATCCCTGTCATAAACTACCTAATTTAGAGTTTTCTCCAGCAGTTTTCAGTCATATCGATGTGCAGTTTCTGAACTGTAGGTCCACATTCACTGTAAATTAAGCACCCTGCTGAATCTTCCACAAACAACATGGAGTCTTGAATCATTAAACTGGGTATAGTCTGTGTAGGTAAACAAACGTGGTACAATCAGATATGGTAGATATTTGGAGAAGACATGTAGGTGGAATTGTAAGAGAGAAATTGTTAAATGCATAACAGACAACGAATCAAAGAATTGGACAACAGTAATGAATAATTTACCGCATGGCGGTGGAGCGACATAAAGACAGAGCTCAGCGTTCAAACACAACCAGCTTTTACAAAACTAGTGATGACAAAACTGCTAGACTAGTGCGTTTAATCTTTGATTTATTTTCAGTCTCTTTGGCTGTTTCTGAAGGTAAATGTAGAGCCCTGAAAATATGTTAAGAACGTGATAGTATTCAATTC